GTCATTGACGGAGAAGGCAGCTTGAATCGGAAGATCCGGGTGTCGTGGCTCACAATGATCTTCTCTGAAAGCTCAAGCTGCTGGCTCTCTCGGGGATTCAAGAATGGCGTAGAGGATCCGAAAGGTGAGAGGAGAGCAGCACCCAGGTGCCATAGTGGCGATGCAAGCATGCTGAGAAAGCTCTGTGAAACTCCAGCCTCTGGTTCATGGTCTGCTTCCTTCAATGGGCCAAGGTAGTAGTCCTTCAGCATCTCCCAAGCGCGCGAGGAATGCACTGCTTCAAAGTCCTCGGAGGCCTCGAGACCACCGGCAAGGAGGATGGAGGAAGCTCCCCCAGGGTGGTCTTGCAGATAGGGAGTGCCATCATAGACGTTGCCCTTCACGACGAACCAGCAGCTCTTCTCGTTGTCATGCTTCTTAACTTCCTCCATGCTGATTCCTGCAAGCCATTCCTCCGTGGACTTCACCAACTTGCCGGCCTTGGTAGGCTGGATGGCCGCAGCTTGGCTGGCAGAACTGGCACCCGCAGCACTCACGGAGTCTACTTTGGCACCCTTCCACACTGCAGCCACTGGCCGCAAGGGAGCCACGCCAGTCTTCCCCGGTGTTGCCTGCGTTGCAAAGCTTTCGTTGAACTGACCTGCTTGATCAGTCATCCAGCCACCTGGCATGGAGCCCTGAGTTGGGTGCTCGAACCACATCCTGCTGCCTTCCCGGTGGATCTTGATGCGGTAAATGGGGTTGTTCAACATGCCCATCACCGTCCAAGTGAGTTGCACAGGCTGACAATTCTGGTTGGAATCCCAAGCACGGCAGCAGATCTCTTCGCAGGCACTGTCCAAGAGACGACTCATGTCAACCTCCGTTTCCCACCAAGCCCAGCACCAGTGCTTGTCAGTTCCACGTGCTTCCGCGATCTCATCTTCTGGCCTTTGGAGCTCAGTAATCTCCCAAGACTTGCCCGAATCCAAAGAGATCTCTGCTCGGATGATCTTGTGACCTCCACCAGTGTAGCCGTATCCGGAGACCTTGATGGTCTTGGGCAAGTTCTTCTCTTCCACGAACGAGTTGTGACGCGGCTCGAACATCGCCGAGTTGATGTTCATGTGGTTGATGATGTACTCAGGCTTGTACCACCATCCCTCTGCGTAAGCAAGATCGGCATCAACATGGGGAGGAAGCACGCGGTTGTCGAAGTAATGGTAATGGTTCTCGGAAGGCTTGTCTGAGACCTTGGGAGACGGAAGGCGGACATGATTCTCACGCTGATAAAGGTTCAGCGTGGTTGGGAAGGAACGAGCAGCTTCCGAAGGAACATCGAGATACGGTCGCGTTTTTTGGTTCAATGTGCAGGCGCGGTGAGAGGGTTCCTTACTTCTTGTGCGAAGGCGGTGACTTTCCGATGGGGGGGCTGCGAGCGCAGTTCTATGCCCTGAGTGACAGTGAGAGGCCTTCGGCATTTGAGTTGGACCGGCTTCCAGACAAATGGTTGCGGTCTAACGCACGGCCCGTTGAGCAAGAATGAGAGTGCGGCGTAATTTCTGACAAGGACTATCGTGACTAGAATTCACAGATGCGCAGCTCGCTTTCAAGCAAGGTGCGACTACACGGACTTTTAGTGCAGATTCCAGCATGTTGCGTGCTTCTCCTGATCGCGATTCGCGTTTCACTTACCAGTAGCAAGTAAAGCAAGACTGGTGGACATTGGACATGAAGAAAACAAAAAACTCTTCCCTGCCAGGTATGCAAGCAAGAAGCCCACATGCTGGAGAGCCATTTGATCATCCGGCCACCGATGCAACCCGGCAAGAGCGTTCGCAGAGGAAAGCCATGGTCCGGGGTAAGCAGCTCTCCGTTTTGCTTGAAAGCCAGCAGCACATCTCGCTCCCTGTCCAGCGCCCAGCCCAAATCAATGGACGTGCCATATGATCCGGTTTTGCCCTGAGGCAACTCACCCAGAGGACCTTCGAAATGGACGAAGCGATGCTCTTTCGAAGGCCGTGTGATGCCAACCGCGGCCAACAAGTCGCACAGGCGGACTCCTGTCCACACGGAGTTCCCAACGGCTCCGGCTCCCCAATCGAATCCTTGTTGGCGCGCACCCTCTGGGAAATGAAACCTAAAGAGAAAAACAGCTCAAACCAAGAGGACATAACATTGTTCGACCACTACAAGGGACCCACTGTCTTCTTGGTGAGGTTCTGCTCCTTGCGCCGGTTCCCGGCACAGATGAAGGTCACTGGGATCGACACAATGGTGCCCCATTCACCAGATGCAATCTGCTCCATGCTGAGCTCCACCGGCTTTGGGACTCCTGTGATCTTCAGCCGATGCTCGGACCAGGAGAGCTGTGGCACTGCTCCATGGTTTCGAACCACATACAAAGCAGGGGGTGTAATCCAACCAGCTGCCTGCAAGTTCTTGAGAGGTGGCTCCGAGTTGAAAGGATGCATACCAGTGTTGCGCAGCATGTCCGGATGACGCTTAATCCACTTGTCCGGGGTGTTGGCATCCCGCGCATCGACTTCAGTTGCATCCTGACGACCGGGCATTTCTAAGCTAGTGTCCCAAAGAGCCGTGGACAGCGCTATCCGGCCATCCACGATCTTGCCGTCCCTTGTCGCCTCCATTGCTCAATGATGAGCAGCCAGGAGTCTTTGAGCCTAAATGCTTGCCACAAGCTGCGGTTGCACGACGGAAAGGGCGCCAAAGTAAAATTGAGCTCTAGAGTCACTGGAGAGGGTGTTGGACCCTGTGCTCGTCGCGATCTTCGAAGTACTACTTGAGCATCGCACGGTTGTGAGCTGGCCTTGGCTCCTCGCAGAGGACAGAAATCTTATGCTGCAGCCCTCACCGGTCATCTTCTCGATGAAGGAGTGGCCACTGATACCGTGCCCTACCACAAGAACGGACTGCACAGTCTCTCTCATTTACCCGAACCAGCAGAATGCTGCAAAGCAATCCAAACATGATCCAGCCGTCTAGATCCGGCACTTTAAGAAAACCCTGGGCTCAAACTTGTTGGCGCGATTGGCGAGAAAGATACTCGTGCGTGCCTGCAACCTTGCACTCCGTGCTAAGGCTGTCAACGTCCTGTGCCATCCTTCGGAAGGACACAAGTCGACTAATTTGCTGGGACCCGAAGCGCAGAAGCGAACTTCGAGCCCCAAGCAGGTTCCTCCTACGACGGTTGAGATCTACGAAACATGTATGTGACTTCGAGCTCTCGTGCAATTACACGGTGGGCTCAGCCACCTTAGCCTCGGGCTTCTCCGACGTTACCTCTTTCGGGCCATGGAACATGCCACCGTGCTCCGCCCAGTAGTAGCAAGGGCTGAGCAATGCCCAGAACATCACGTAGCCAGCGTGCACTTGGAAAGGAAGCAAGGGATCATCGATCGGCCTGTAGAAGCAAAAGCCTGCGATGACAGCTCCCAAATTCCCTCCAGCCCCAACAAGGGCAGACACCACCGCTAGCTGAGGCCTGTTCATGAAAGGCACGATGCCGTAGCTGGTTCCCTCTGCCATCTGGACAAACAGGGAGAAGCACACCAGCACTGCCAAGGCCACATACCATGGCTGGGAGTTATCCACCAGGCCGAAGCAAAAGAGGAAAATTGCTTCAAAGAAGAGGGACAAGAACTGTGCCCAGATGCGGCCGCGGAATCCCATGTACTTGAAGAGGATGTCACTTGTGATTCCACCCAACGACCTGGCAAAGAGATTCATCAT